TGGCAGTTGAGCCAAAACGGCAGATCGAGCTTTTGATTTTTGGGGTGGTGTTCCCCATGTGGCTTACGATGCTTATGGTTTCGTGCGCGGGCTGTGCACACCGATAAGACCTTGTTGGCAACTGCAGCCTACATGGACTGGAGTGCAGCCTGTGTTGCTACGGACTGCAGACGCTGCCAGGAAGGCCGGGGAGGGTTTCAGTTCCCATGGATCAGCTCTATACCAGGCGAGCTGTGCTTGTCGAACCTCGCGTTGCCCCGATGCGGGCGTGGGCTCACATCTCAGGCTCTCAGGACCGCCTGTTTGATGATGAGGTGTTGCAGGCCTGGTCTGGCTTTACCATTGATGACGTGCTTCCGACCCATGTCAACCGCCTGGTCTTTGCCATCTCTGAGCAAGAGCACGATCGCCTGGCCACCGCGGAGGATCTGTGGCGTATTTGGCGCCTGGCAGCGAGGTGAGCGGCGCTGGCGTGAGCTCGCTTATGAGCCGGTTGCCGACCGCGCAATGGCATTGGTGGACCCAGTGGCCCGAGCAGGTCGCACTTTGTGGATGTGGCTGGGCAGGCTCGAGGCAGCAGTTCCGAGTCCAACAAGTTGGTGCTGCGCTCGGCGCTTCTCCCGCCCAGCATGCAGCCGTGGCTTTGTCCGCGCTGGGGGTCGACCGAGCGCGTGAGGTGCTCCAGTCCGACCACCTTGAGGGTGGAGGAGAAGACTGGCCTAATGCATAGTGCAATTGGCCCATTCGGCAGCAGAAGTGTAGTTTGCTGGTTCCACCGAGAATGGAGTTGTCCGGCTTTCCAGCTTCACACTGGACTTCTCTTATCTTTGGCCTCCCTCTGGCTGTCACCTCGCTTAATCGATATTCTCGTTTCTGCGAGGCAGTTGGTCGCCGCCGCCTCATTCTGTTGGTTTCGATGTACTTCGACGATGCCCACATGACAGATTGGGCCTCGAGCAAGGCTCCGGACAGCTTGCGTTTCGCGAGCTCAACAACATTTTGGGCTCACCATTTGCGGACCATAAACGACAGGACATGGCTACCACCGGCTTTTTTCTGGGGCTGGACCTCGATTTTCTACCGTGCCAACCGCAGGGCGGTAGCCTCCTGGGTTAGATCCCGCCTTCAAGAGAAGGTCGAGAACATGCTGTCCATTGCTAAGCAAACCGGTGTTGCCCCCTGGTGTCGCGTCCAAGCTTTATGGAATCCTGAACTTTCTTGAGATGGGCATGTATGGCCGGGTCGGCACAGGCAGCCTTCAGGCTCTGAAGCTCCGGCAAGCCAAGACTTCCGCGGTCCTTTTGTGTGCGCTCCGGCAGTCTATTGAGGTCATCCGAGCAGGCTGGCCTGCGCCCTCGGCGCCGCCTGGAGGTGCTTCCATCACAGCAGCATCGTTTTGTGGCAGCTAGCGATGCGGCCGAGGACGTACCTGGCGAAGGTACCGGTGGATTTCTGCTGGTGTGGCGGGCTGGCTTGCCAGAACGCGAGGCATTTGTGGCGGAGGTGTCGCCTTCCGTCTATTCCCTCTTCACGCCAGGTGATCATAAAATCGCCCAGCTCGAGCTTTCTATGGTCCTCTATGCCCTCACCGCCAGAGCCTCACGCTTTCGAGGTGCTCGGGGTGTCTGGTACATTGACAATGTTGCGGCACTAAGAGCCTCATCTGTGGTCGTAGCGACTCCCCGATTTGGAGCGCATGGCCAACCTCATTCATGTTGCCCTTTTCTCGCTCCAGACTTGGATATTATTGGGAGTGGATTCGCCCTAACTCTAATTGGTCGGATGCCATCAGCCGGCTAGGACGGCAGGACCCATGGCACCGCTTGAATGGGTTCCAATGCTACTCTGCAAGTTTTCCAGCTCCGCTCTGGCGCCTGCCTCTGGGACCCGTTGCTCTCGTCTTCGAGTTTTTGTAGTGATTGGGGGAGTTGAGTGCAGGGGTGATGGAGATGCTATCTACCGGTGGACAGCAGATTCCATGCTACTTACCCAAAGCATATCCTGAAGCGCTCAGGTTCTACGAGACGTGAAGCACTACAGGCACGGCAGGTGTGAAAAGAGCGAGCATGAGCGGAGTGATGCAGTAGTACATTGTGATAGCACTTGAATGATCATATATATATAGCTATAAATGTGTCAGCCTGCACGGGTCTCCCCCCTCCTCCCCACCCCCCCGGTGGTCCTGCGGTCTGGGTTTGGTGGTCCTCACGCAGACGGTGCTTATGGCAGATGGTTTACCAGGGGGCTCATAACTTTTTTAGAAGGTTTGCAAGAGGTTTTCAGAGCCAGCTAGAGGATTTATACAGTTTTTTGGCGGCTTCCTTTGGGTCCTGTGGTGAGGGTTTATAGAGGGTGTCAACGGGGATCAGAGAGATTCTACGAGGAGTTCATGGTAGTTCAGGGACCCTGTAGGCGGGACCGCTCCTCGAAATGAATTGATACCTACAAGCTTTCTAAACGCTTTTGATCATTTTTGATCACAAGTGAGCACCCTCAGGCACCCCACGCGGGCAAAGGCACCCCACTGCCTTTGGACACCCACGTCAATGTAGTGGATGCCCCTATCACGTCTTGCATTCCCATGTTACAAAAACTAGCAAACTGTGGGCAAGACGCATGCTGCAGCGCTGAAATCATGGTACGCATCCAAATCTGTAGGCCGAAATCCACATGTAGACGTGCTGAAACATACCAGGCGAAAACCCGCCCTACTTTGCAAGTGAAATGCTGCACTCCCTATGTTATGTCAATTCACAGCGGAGCCAGAGAAAAAGATGGCATCTAGAATGGGAGATCGTAACCAAAGCTTTGAGGAGGATGGGAACTGGTTGTATTGTGGGAGTTGGTCTGGAATACGGCATCTACGACGGGATCTTGCCACAGAAGCCTCGCTTTCGAATAGGCTAGGCAGCTAGAGGATCCCAGAGAACTCACAGGGCAGTAAGACAGCATTTGCACTCAGCTTCGAAAAAGCCGCACCACAGATCTCCGGACGTGCGTGAGCCTCGCAGCCTTTGTTCTCGCAAGCTGAGGATAGCGTTATCATCGGCAAAGCAGATGACATCCGCCAGCGTCTTGAGCAGTCTGGTCAGCATTTAGATTGCTCCGTTGTCTTGATTTAAAGGCAGGAAGGAACATGAAAGGAAGGCCTCTTTTTGTCGCTTTGGACAATCTTTGGGGATGCCGGCGGTCAGCTTTGGGGGAGAGCTGCAGATGCAACATGGAAGGTCCCCGAAAATACTCAAGGCTGGTGTCAAGCTTCTTTGAAGGACAGCTCTGCTGCATTTTCAGTCAAAAAAATCAAGCCTCTTCACGTCCTCAACCCAACATCGCTGCTCAAGGCGTTTGGAGGCCGCTTCTGGGCGGGCTGTCTTCTTTGGAGCAGAGACCTGGAAGGGAGACCTAGCAGCTCGGAATGTGGGAACCGCTTTGTTTGTGGAGGTTCAAGGGGGATACTTGGGGGGAGGTCGTTTTGGGCAATTTGTGGCTTTTGCTTTGTCTCCATGTGGGCACTCGTATTGACATGGGCTTGTTGAGGTTCTGCGACCGTAAGGGACAAGGGCGGTGTCGTCTTTGCCAGCAGAGGGGCCGATTTGCGTTGTACCAGCTTGTGTTCGGTTGCAAAAATTTCTAATTGCCAGAGTTGTCGAGGAACTGCAGGCACTGGACTGATTTCAGTCATGAGCCTGTTGCGAAGCTTGCGGTTTTCCAGGGTGGGCTTGAGAGTTTTGCTGCAGCGTTGGAATCCAGTCAGAGCCAACTCCCAAATGCATGGCACCTGTACCTGCCATGCCTTGGAAAGCCAAGGTGGAAGTGGCTTGTCAGAGGTCAAGACTCGTCACATTTTCTGGAATGTTTCGGCTCCGCGTAATCAAATATTTGGGTTGACATTTGGTTTGGATCATGCCATACTTTGAGAGGATAGTGTATGTGAGCGTGGGGATAAGATTTCAACATGCATGACCTGAAGAACATGCAGCAGGGCAGGCAGGATTGCAGCTCCCGCAGCGTTGAATCGAACAGCAGCTGTTGGAGTCACCAGAAAGTTGGAATTGAACTTACATGTGTCGCTGGAGGAGTTTGCCTTCGTTTGGGGGGTGTAAGTAACGGCTCGCAGAATGCTGTGCCTTGGTGCTCCATGTTATCTACGCAGTTTCCGAGTTCTTGTGATCGGGTGCCAAGGAGCAAGAGGAGCGGGCCAAGAGCATGAATGTTAGTGCCTTGGACAGCTGCTGTTTGAATGCCTCAATGCATGACCACAAATCTTTAGTGAAGGAGGTCAGCTCGAGAGATAGAGCGCACCACAGGCATCCTTAACAGTTCGTGGAACGAGCCTTCTTGTGCTGCCTCTAAACTCCAGGACTCCGCGACCAAACCTTATAAGACGATCTCTGTTGACAAACTCTTTATATCAAATTGGGTCGAAAGCCTTGGCTTTCCAGACGAAGTGGCAAGCCTTCACAACCCAGACACCCCTTGGCGTTACCTGAACGCCGGACTCATGGCTGGCCGCGTTTGGGCCCTTCGAGACTTCCTCTCAGCGCCTTGGAGGCATCAAGAAGCTCTCCTGATAAGCACCACCCCAAACAAGTAGAGGATTCTAATTACTCCGGGGTCCCGCAATCAGATTTCGGCAAACTTGTTTTGGGGTGTCTCGGGCCTTGTCAATTAACTTTCCATTGCCGCGGTCAGTCCCGTTTACCAATCCGAAGCCAACATTAATTAGTGAGAACAGATCTACAGGCTTATATGTTTGCCTCAATCGCTACGTAGTCTAAGCAATCTCATAGTGAGATGCTGAATGGATCCAGTCTGACATTTACTGGTGTCAGGCCCACGTTTCAGAATTCTCTTCGGCTGAGTATTGTACGGTCAGGGTTCACCTCAAACATGAACGTCTAAGAAGTCTTCCCCACACATCCATGCGTTTGTTGTTACCGACAGCCTCTTAAACATCGCAATCTTCTTTCGTAGGGCAAGACGTACACGGGTTGAGGATAGGGTGGCGCGGGAGAAGCATGCCAGCATGGCACCTACTCGTAGCCATTTGCCTGTTGTGCATGCCTCCAGTTCACGGAGTTGGGCGCAGCAGTCTGGCTACAGTCTTGCTACTAGTGGATACGCGTATCTCAATAGCCCTTGGCTATTGTATCGGGGGACGACTTGTGCGATGAGCGCCCAGATCTCAAAGTCGGAGTGAAGCAAAGCTCGACCTGTGTGCAAACTTAGCAAAAGTCACATGGTGCAAAAACACGACGAGGTGCCCATGCGCGAAGACATTAACGATCAGGCCAATTGTGCTTGAAGCGGCTCAAAATTCGTCCAGGTTGTCAACGACAGACAACTGCCGTCTTTCTCTGTTTGTGTTTCAAATGGCTTGGGCTGTGAAAGGAGTGGCGAGCGGTACGCACAAATGTGAGCAGACTCTGGCCTGTCAATTCTGCACTGAACCAACCCTTTTTACAGCAGTGGAGCCAGATCGTCCATTTGTATCACGCTCACTGACTCACAAATGCAAGTTCGTAAAACTTCAATGCGGACGCTGCACCCTAAGCCTGACTGCTGGCAGATGCTCGTCACAGAGATCATGCTGCACCAAAAGCCCGAGTTGGCCACCTTGGACCGTGCCATTTTAGGGTTGGGTCTGGTAAGACTGAGGCCTTGCTTTGCCTTCCTTGCTCTGCAGAGAAGGTACTGTAGATCTTGTCAACATCTTCCGTGCAGGCAGGCTGAGGATTGTGACAAAGCCTATTTTTGAGCGAATGTGCAATCGTGTATCATCGGTATTGAGGCATGGTTCTACATAAGGGCTGTCAACACGGTGGCGCAGCTGTAGCAGGAGCATGCAACAGATATTCAATCTGTCGTTCTAAGCTTCTTGAGCCACAGCATCCGTGAGTTTCCCAAGAAGAAGGGGACCCCAATATAGACCCCAAAATATTATAGTCCTTATTATTGGGACCCCTAAAAGTACTCCTAATTTTGGGAACCTTCCAGCATCCTTCAGGACTACCAGAGCGAGCTCTTCCAGAATGTTTTCGGTACCACACTTGCATCTGGGCTGCTGTTAAGGAACTTAGATTAAGTTACCATAATGGGTATATTTAGTAATTAATATGGTTCCCCCAACATAGTAACTTAAATTAAGTTCCTTAACAGCAACCCAGGCATTGCCGGGGGTCATGCTTGCAGTGCTGCATCCAACCATCAGAGGTTCTGTGCTTCTTCTTCCTGGGTGGGTTACTCCGGAAAAACATGGAAATCAGGAGCAATCATGAAACCAGACAATCACCTTCCCAATTAACGCCTCAAGTAGCGCATACCAAGCCAGGGCAAGACCACTAGAACCCTAAAGATTACTACCATTATTATCACTATTGCTAATATTATTGCTGTTACTATTTCTATTGCTATTGCCATTACTTTTACTATTACTCTTACGATTACTATTACTATTTATTATTACTATTACTAATACTATTGTTACGACTATTATTATTACTTTGTCTATCTTTATTACGATTAATAATTTCGATTTTTATTACTATTAGTTTTGCTATTACTATTACTACTTGTTAATATGAACTCAATGCTAATCCCTACAGAGGTTCTCCTTTTATGGCAGACTAAGGTATCGAGGGCATCCTGGAAGGCCCGTGGACGGAGGAGAAGTGGATCAAACCCCTACTAAAGCTTCTTCTTGTAATCAGTAGTCGTGATTGTGAGGATGGCCGCAAGAGCAGAAGCAGCATAGCAACCCATGATAATTGTTGTTCTGAGGATGATGGTCATCATCAACATCAGCATGACGCGTTGCCCTTGCCACATCCCCAATCATCCCCTCCCGCTCAGTAGTTGGCAAAGTCCCCAACAAATAAGTCGCCTTGAATGTCGACGTCCAAAGGCGCTTGGAAAGGCTTAGAAAGGAGCTCAAAGTTAAGTTCTGGAAGGTCCTAAAAAGAACCAGCCTCCAGCCAGGGCAGCGTTTCATAATAAGATTTCCGGGTGGGTGCTCACAGCCCGAATATCCTGAACACAATTTAACTGAGGAAGTGGGGTCAGGGTTGCCGACAGACCAACCTGGCGCGTTCGGACCAATACGAAATTCCTACGTAGTGATACGTAGTGTATTCAAGCCTGGCTCCCAACCACTACCTTCAAGCTTGAGGAGCACCTTCAGCCGAGGGGGTCTGTGGTCTTCATGGAGGCTCCCGATCACGCGCATGATGTAATTTCCTCAGCAAAGCTAGGATGTTAGCCACCTCGCCCAGGTCTCCTTGATAGCTTGTTTATTTTGTTTGCACTGGATGGAGAACAAGAGCTCTTATCTTCTTCTGCTCCACAGGCTGTGTGTTGGAGAAAGCACCCCAGGGGTAGTCATTCAGTGCATCGCCATGTTCATGGCGATGTAGTGTATCATGGATGCTCAACTTACGTACAGCCAACAGCTCCAGTCATCTCTGAGCCCATAGGCTGGAAACAATATGCAGCTTGAGAGAACTCAATAGAGTGTGAGTAATAGCATTTAATTGTCCTGCACCTGCCGATATGAGCCGTTGAAATGGAGACGTTACATTCGGAATTGCTGGGCTTGATCTTTCTGCGTGGTGCAAGGTATGGCATGCTGCCATGTTTTCGTGTCCAAAGATTTGGCAGTTCAGAGTATAGACTGTTTTTGATCGTTCAGGTGAAAATGAGGATGCATGTGCATGAAGAATCTTAACATGAGTTTCGGAGCAAAGCTCGGCACTAGCGATGAGCCCACTGCAACAATGACTCACGATTTTAATTTGGCAGGACGGCGACCGCCGTTGGATCGAAAACAGGCTCCGCGCATGTACAACGTTGTCCTGCCAAATGTTGTGCTTCGGAGTTGTTGGCTGTCAGCTGGCTTCAACGTTGAGCTTTCATAGCGTCCTACTACAATGCAACATTGAGCCGAAACAAACGTTTAAGTCCGTGTCCTCCAATGTCCTCGTCAAAGTGAAGGGACTTCTCAAAGTCCCAAGAAACCCCCGAAGGCTGAGCGTTGAAGTCTCGCCATGACGGATATAGGAGTCGCAGCCCAGGGCTTTCTTGAGACGTAGAGCATCATAGATCTATGGTCACTCAACCGAACAGCTGGAAACTTAGCCTGCTCTGGACAGGCTGACAAAGTCACAGCCCGTGATCCTGCACTTTCCCGGACCAGGTTGGGGCTCTGGGTCTGCGCCTGGTGAGACATACCCCAGGTCAGAAGACTGGTATGTACTGTTACATGATGCAGGTCGTAGTGCAGATTCGCCGGATTTGCACATGTGCGGATAAGTGTGCTGCCTTGTGTCTTTAGTTGGAAGCAGGGCCCCCGCCTCAAGTCCAGGGCTATTGAAGAAGTGCTGAATGCCAAAGTGCGAGACAAAGCTTGACAAAGTTGGTGGCTTTTGGTGTACATGCTGCCCACTGACTGGCGTGGTAATTTCTGGTATGGTGAGGTGAAGGAGCAAAAGTTGCGCATGGTGGATGAACAGATTCATCGCAAGTCATCCCAGATACGCAAAAAAAGTTGAAAAGGGCAAGAGCAAGTACATCCATGGAAGCATCAATAGTTTTGGGGGACAGATGTCGCATGGGAAGCTCGAAGCCATGGCGCTAAGAAGAGAACAAGTTCTGTGTCATGTGTTTTGTTTCGGTGGTTTCGGTGTGAACCACGATGGGTTATTTGGGATCGAATTCAGAGCAAGACGGGCCTAAGGAAGGAAGGTCGTTCGGAAGCGCATCGCAAGTCCGGTCCATGTGCAGAGATGTTCATTAACTGCCGGCTTTGGATCCGACCTTTGAGTTGCCTGATTGCTGTGCAGGCAAGTTTGGCAAAGTAACGACTTGTCTGGAAAGCTCTCAACTGGAGTGCCATCGAAGCTTGCCATGCATTGGTGTTCTCAATTTACAAAGCATGTTGTCCTGAGATTCATGATATCCGCAGTAGCACAAGTGCCGGTAGATTTGTGGGGACTCCACTGGCTGTTGCACGTGTTTGCAAGACATCCTTCAAAGTTTGCGTTAGTGTTGCGTAAAGTCTTGGGACAGTTTCCGTTCCCCTGTTTGCTGAGGATCGCTACCATTTGAAGTAGTGCGGCTTTTCCTGCCGAAGGCCTACGAGGTGGGCGGACTCGAACCTGCACTGCAAGTTTTCTTCAAACCTTGATTTCGTTGCAAGGCTTCACAGATGCGACGCAGAATGGTTGGGGCAATTTGGTAAACTTACAAGGTGATCCATGGACATCCGTTGTTTACGAAATTGGGAAAAAGTTTGCTCTTAACAGAAAGAGAGAACCCCTGAAACAAGCCGACAATGATGCGTGCCAGCAGTCCTGATAATAACTGCGCCGCATTTTTCTTGCGTCGTGGTGGTGGTGGTGGTGGCGGCGCGGCGGCAGCGGCGGCGGGGGTGGCGGCGGCGGCGGTGGTGG